TTTTTTTGAATTCTATACCATTTCTACCAAAAGTATTTTTCCCCATATAAAATACATGGAATACTTTGGGCGCTTTAATCGACCTCTAAATATTTTCTGATTTCAAAATAAAAAAATAGGGGTATATTTTTTCGGTATAGAACAGGAGGTGAGAGCATAAAAATTCCGACTTTACTTTTTCACATGCATTTTTGGACCACCCTAATGTGCATATATGTTTCTCGTATTTATAAATAGATTCCCTGAGGAAGACGCGAATATGCGTCAAAGCAAGTAGGAGAAAAATAAACGTTTATTCTATTTGTAATAAAATACCGAAAATCTCCATACACAACATTAAACTCTCAGCTTAGTTGTGAAGAAATAATTATAACATACATGTATGTTTGGTTTTTGAACGGCTGCTAGTACCACCTTATATGAATTCACTGCTCTTCTACGCAAAAATCTGAAATGTGCTACTCTTCCACGCGAATAGTGAAATGTGCTAGTCTTCCACGCGAAAATCTGAAATGTGCTACTTTTCGACGCGAATAATGAAATGTGCTAGTTTTCGTCGCGAAAAGTGAAACGTGCTAGTCTTCCACGGTAATTTGAGATGTGCTACTCTTCGTTGGGAGCGACGATATATACTTACAAGTATGGAATCCTATGCCCCCTTTTGTCTATTCTGTTTCTAACAGCGGACCTGTCTGCCAAACAGCGGACATGCCTGCCAAACTGAAAAGCATGACGGCGGCAGTGTTTGACAGGCACGTTCGACGATGCGAACGGCAATGGAAGGTAAGAAATCGAAGATGGATGACATGAGAATGAAAGAATTATGAAATAGCAGAATGTCGAACCAAAACGAATTTCAAACATCTGACAATGCGAATGACGTCAAAATGAAAGAAATGCAAAATAGCGAAATGTCCACCATTGCGCCATTCAATATTTAAAAAATTTTAATGTGGTTAAATGCGCTTTTTTATTAAGTTGAAAAAATACATATTTCGCCAGCCAAAAAGTGTATAAAGAAATAATAGCATCTTGCTTATAAAAACGGTGTATGCTTATGGCCTCATTCATAAAAAATAAAATAGATTTAAAGAGCTCTATACAGTAACACCCATCTCTTTATCTGTTTATTATTCTCAAATTTTTCTTTTCCTTAATCCTCATTTGACTGAGTTTCAATTACACCTAGTAAGAATCATGATAAAAACATTAGAAACTAAAACCATTCTCTCAATTCGTCGGCCATGATTTTTTTCTGACGTTTGCAAACATTTTAAAATTATATGAAATTGAAAATCAAAAAATGAAATTGTTCACAATCGTTGTTGTTTGAGATTAAAAATGAGAATGTGTGTGTGAGCTTGAGTTCGAATTTTAAAATTATATTGCTGGCAATCGTCAGACTGTGTCTCAATGATTTTACCTTGTAATGTTTTTATCATGGTAAAAATCTAAATATTTTATAAGAAATTTGTTGACCGTTTTACAACGGCATTTAAAGCTTTTTTGTTGAATTTGAAAAGATTTCCTCCTTCGCACACTTCTCTCATGCTTTTTTATCGTAGTTATTATTCTGTTGACATCTAAGTTGCCATACATTTAATGTCGTTGCCAATACATTGTTTTCCGGCGTTTCCTCTGTGAACTTTTTAACTACATTCATAAAAATATTACTAATTTTGGTTTATAATTTTTTTCCATCTTGCTATTGCCAAATATCAAAAAGGAATTAATAAATAATAAAAGGTTAGTTACAATTTTAGTGGATGGTTCTTGCAAATAATAGTATTTTGTGGTTGAAATGACTTGATCGCCGGCAAGAACTAATCAACTTTTTTGTCAAAACAAAAGCAGACGGGAAGGAAAAATAGTTGTTCATTAACGATTTGTCCGAAATATCGTTCTTGAAACGCGCTACTGCTCTCTAAATTTGTAAAAATCAAATTTTTTCACTTAATTGTTATATTTTTCTGCAATGTGGTAAATTTCCACATGATCACAACAGTTGGCTGTCAAACCGAAACCAAAAAAGATACCAGAACATTCAGGGCGCAATCTTCTTTCCTATGATTATTGTACTGATACTTTGAATTTCTCAATTTTGACAATTCTTATCTAAAAGTAAACGAAACCTCTGAAACTTTAAATGCACTGCAATACCTACTTCCGCAAAAATCACCGTTTTTTGTATTTTCCTTGTTAAAAGTTGTTTTAAATCATATTTTTTTATCGCCTTATTCATAAAAAATAAAAATTTTAAAAAGCTATTTAAATTGCCGTTTGCAAACATTTTTCAATTTATATTATAAATTTTATAAACCTTTTTTAAAGCTACTTTAGTTTTTATGAATAAGGCTATTGGAATTTAGCACAATTAAAACACGTTCCCTATCGAAAAATTTATTATTAAGAAAATTGACTGTTCTCACATTTTCCTTCAACATCCAGTTCG